ATTGCACACTTAAACATACATACTACTGCTGTCAGTTGTCTGCTATGCTCAAGGTCTGCATGGCATCACACCAAGTTGAAAAAAAGCACAACGTGAAACAAATTTATTTTATTGCTCGTGCCTTCACATGGATTTGAATTGATCTACATCCTAAATCTAAATAGACCCACCTAAAAAAAGCAGTCTGAGAAGTATCTGTTGGTGGAGAAAAGCTTTGCTTCGTTCTCACAGTATCTGCTGCTTGTGCATGCTTAATGGCTTGAGAAGCAGTTGTACACTCCTTAGAAGGCGTTTGCCAATTGCAATTCATTTGAAGCAAGTCGATAAGTGGAGACAACATTTTGGCCGCATTTGCAGTGCACAGATCTGAGTAGATGACCAATCCGAGAAAAAGACGAAAGCCATGAGTCGTCTTTACACTAGCTCAAACAACATTGGAGGTTTTCAGCAAAAATATTCCACACCAAAATACTCACTAGGGCTTGATCTTAGTTTCACAGTGTAGATAGCATTGGCACAAATATTATAACTTGCGTAACTTGCTAGAATTCTGTAGTATTTCAGACCACATGTAACTCCTTAATGCAAGTTACCAAAATTGCTGCTGATGCTGTTGTCGTTTTCTAGTAATTCACTCGAGTTAGCGTAGTAGCAGGCGTCGGTTTTAGTGTGCATAAACAGCGTTTGTTAAACAAGCGTAAGCTTAGACCAAGTATCTTTTAGTTGATGGAGGCTGTGTGTCTGTGTTTAATTATCGTTTAAATGTTCAGTTTGACTAATCTTGCAGGTGTGGCTCTTACATCTCCTACAGACACACCGTCTCTAACACTGCATTTATTTCTACGTAAATAAGTGAGTAGTTCTGCTCGAAAAGCACAAACTACCACCACGGCTGTATGGATGAAGCACAATTTATTTTATGCTGAACAACATGAAGTAGTTCTTTACGATCCTGTCTTCGTACATTCGATATCACTAGGAAATAGTCAGTTTCACTTTCACTTTATAACGGTTAGTTGTTGTGGTTTTTACGACAAGGGTGCTGATTTGGGATTGTCATGATAAAGGCAATCGTCGGTTCGATTGTCCTAAATTGTGACGTGTGTGGAGGATTTTGACAAAACAGCTGTTTAATTTTGCGCGATTTTGAACAGAAAAAGCTTCTTTCTACATGAACGCTTTTACGCGAACTCGCCACACCAATGTGTCAGATGCCTGAGGCATAATATTTGCTCGACGTTATGATCAAATAACCAGGGATCCCACCCGTGGAAGTCAGTGTGTCTGTGTCAGTTAATTTATGTTTCAAAGCTATGACACCTCGAATAAATGAAAGTAGGACGTGTTCTCTAAGGGAATTAAATGACGACATCATGGAAATCGTTCGACACCGGCACCAGTGCAAGAAGAAGTGCTGCCGAAAGTGCCAAAGTAAGTGCTTGTGTGATGCTAATCCCCGTTTACACGCTCTAGTTTCTCTATCAAGTTTCACTTGCAACTTACTGAATTTCCTAGTGTGGTTACCACGCCACTAGACGATGTAAAATTTCATTCGCTTAAAGCAGCTAGTACGATGGACGGAGGACTACTATTGCAAAATGCAGAATCACTGTAGTGGACAGTGAGGGGTGGCGCGTGAGTGGAGCAGCGGCTCGCCTACGGAAATATCGACTTCATTGGCTGGCTGGATGCAGGTTGGCTCATCGCTGTTTCTCATTGGCCAGCGCTGTCAGCCGCCTGTTACGCGCACGCACTCAAGCACACAATGGCACACTTGGCCGGCGTGACGCCTCTAACCACGGTTGTAACCACCGTCACGTCTCTCGTCCCTGTCCCCGGATTGTTGTTGCAGGCGACCAAGCCATGGTAGTTAATTTCTTTCAAATCTTTTCGCACAACCCTCTCTTCCGTTTACAATGAGTGAACCTGTTTTAAAAAAAAGGCACTTAAATCAACCTTCGTCGACTCAGTTTCAACGCGCGTGCTTGGTGTTTGCAAATTCAGATCCATTTACGCAATGTGAAGGTTGCTTAACGAATATCCAAATAATCGTTTTCTGCTGAAAACGTTGGAACATAAGTTATCGATTTATCCTAAACGATGCCTTCCCACTAACGACCAACTCGACCGAGGCCTGAATTTAACAACCCGGTTTAGGAATGGAACTTGTTCTGCTTAAACGAAACCTTACTGGGACCAACAGCGTCGGTGAGTCTTCTTTGCGCCAATATCTCCTACACGGCATTCGCAGAAATGGACTGGTTATAGGTAAATACGTCCATTAACTCAGTTATTTTGTATTAGAGGTTTTGGAAGTTGCTTTTGTGAATTTGTTTGTTTAACTGTAAAATAAAATTAGTTTTAAATTCCGTGCACCCTCCGATACTCATAAACGCGTTTTAATCAAGGCGTATTTATTGTATCTTAGTCAATATTTCTAAATTGATGCCTTATCTCTCTATGAATGTAAGTGTAGCGTAAATTAAGAGTTGAGGTGTGAACCAAGTTCCTGTTTGCCCTGTTTCACGTTCATGTACATCACGTAGTTGATGCGCATTGGCTGCAAGTAGGCAGCAGTAGTAGTAGTAGTAGTACATTGTGTGTGAGTTTAAGCAGCACTGATTGAGCCTGGGTTGCCGCATTAAAAATGAAAATTTGTAGCTTTGGTTGCGTCGACGCCAATGAAGTGTTTGCAGGACATTATGCTGAAGCGTGGAATTAAAACAGCACGCTGAAGAAACACGTGCACAAACACTTTCGTTCGCAGGTTGCTGTAGATCTATGTGTCTCGTAAAATTCATTTTCTGAAGATTTGGCTATGTTAATAACTGCTGTTCCTCCGAGGACACCTGTTCTTAACCTTGTGGGTCCCCTACAGTTGCTAGAATTCTTGCATTAGCACTGATTATGCTTGCTCTAACCGCACACTGCTGGTTATCCAACACGGTTCCATACATGTGTCCATCCCGATACACTCCTAAACGTATCATGGCTGCCTAGGGAAATCCTTGCTCCGCCAAGTACTTTTAATCTTTCATGATATCGCTAATCCTGATCAACGACAAACTAAGAATCCTTTCTCAAATAGTTGCGTCTGTTTCGTCATGTTTTATCTTGACCAACATAGCGAGACACTCGTTTGCACAATTTAGCGAACCGGATGCAAGTTTGAATCACGCACATGTCGAAATTGTTAGACCTGTCTCTCACTCGGCATATTTATGTTACATGTGAACTTACGGTATTCGCTTTATCTGATGGCATTTTGCTTTCCCAATGCAGTACCTTCTGCCAAAAGCATAGTTAAAATGTTTGTTTACAGGTGGATAACATTTGTTAGAGTCCCTTCAACCACTAGCACAGACCTGGGAACGCAGATTGAATGAAATTTATTGCATGATCTCACGCGGGTCCTGGGAAGGAACCACATTTTAATAACCGCAACCAACCTCAATCAAATGGCATGGTGAAGCGATCACACCGACAAATGAAAGCCCAAGCTGACCAATGTCGTTGAACAGACGTGTAAATGGCACCTGTTTAATGACCCATCCCTACTTTCCATTGGTTACTGTTACCAATCCCCCAGCATCCGCTCACTGGTCCACACACAAAACCACAATTGACTCGCTCGATGCTAATAGACGGTTGTGTCCGACGCTGTAGCTTCTCTTCTTCCTTGTATCAGGGTGTCAAGAGCCCCGGAGAGGATGGTTGTAATTTGGTGCCATGCAAGCAACTACATGTGATGACATGGCACGTATTTGTAAAGCAGATGCTTGATCATGATCATACCCTTCCACATCCTCGTGTTTGCTCCACGCGCGCTTGATAAGTGACCGCTTTGTTTCGCCTAGTGTTAGTGAGGATGTTCATTTATGGGCTGATCCCCGTATTCAATGTCAGCCTAGCAAATTTCACAAGCACCATATTTCCCAACATCCACGTTTTACCACCCTCACTGCCGCCGCAAACACTAAAATGTACACTGCATAAAATAAAATTGTGTTCTTTATTAGCAGCGGGCCCTGCCATGTGGTAGAAGCAAGTTGAAGAAAATGGCACGGGGGGAGGGGCCTTACGAGACTGGCATTGAACAGGGGTGGTGCTGGTCTTGAAGTTCGCAGGTGGTGGTGGTGGTAGGGTAATGGCGAAATTGCCTACTGCAGCAAGTAGAAGACCTGCAACACGCGAGTTGTGCACTCCTGTGAATGAAAAGGTTGTAGGCGTAATTGTTGTTGCTCGGGCTAGTGACACAGCCAAGGGCAACTTCAGTCGCTGAGTAGTCGCTGAAAGAGAGAGGGCAGGAGCGAGCCCAGGAGAGTAGGCTACGGCAGGAGAATGTGGAGGCATTGACGACCAAGGCGGCAGGTGAGATCGACTTGAAGTGAACGACTAAGGGCTAAGGGCTCTAAATTGGTAAAACGTGTTCCCAAAGTACACTTACATTACTGGCAAACAAGATTTGCTCCAGTTGGAATCAAGGCGCGTTCGAACAGGTGTTAGGATAAGCCAAAACACGCTAGAACGTTGCTTAAAAATTAATTACGCAAAATTAGGCGGCATTTTGTTTGACATAAACGGACAGGAAAATCAGGCCTTATTGACCTATCACAAAACAGAGCCCAGTCAGACACCACTCCAAACGCAGTCTAAGGATTGGCTCAGTTCTGTGTGATTTACTACAATGCATCTCCACAGGAAAAAAATTGGCCTTTACTTCCATCTTGAATCTTCGTTATGCCAAGAGGAACTCGGACGACAAAACTTCAGTTCTACACTTCCTGACGCACCGGACTTAGCGGGCAATTCTACTTAAACTCGGACTTGACGATGTGTCACTATATCAGCCTTAAAGGGATCTAATAAAACGCCTTGAAATGAATCGAAAATTACTTGAATTTGTCTCAAGGATGGCGCGAAAAGACGCAGAAAAGGACCTTAATTAATTAGGCGAAATGTGATGACTTAGAGAAGTATAAGGAAAAATGGCTGACACGTTATTGACACGACTGATACGGACTGCGCACAGGAAGGGGCCAGCCAGTGGTCTTATCAGTGCGCAGTAATGATAAGGCTTTGTGCGAAGGTGTCGGCGGCGCTAGCAGCCGAAGTGGAGAAGGAAAAATCGGACCCTCCTCCTGATTCGGGCTTGAAGAGTGGGGCGGTGTGGGGGGTGCAACCACTATGGTCTTATGAGTGCGCCACTGTGTTAAGGCTTGTGCACCATTGTCGCTGTGGTTAATAAAATAAGCTTGGAATCCAAAGAGATGGAGGGAGGAAAAGAGACAATTTCGTAAGTTTTGAGGCCAAAAGAATTGACACGCAGGCACAAATAATTTGAGCTCTGAGCGTATGTGGCTGACAAGTGACACATGGCGCAGCGCATCGGCGAGCCGATCGATGAGGCGAGCAGGCGGTTTGTTAGGAATTGCACACTTACGCAGGCACGCACGCACACGTGCAAGAAACAGAGCCTTTGAACTATCGATCGGTCGATCGATGGACGACAGCGCGCCAAGCGGCTGTGGCAGCGGCGGCTGTAGCTGTGCTTGCGCAAAGATGGACTGCAAAAAATGCTTGAGTGGTGCTAGTCCCTCACTGCCATCGCTAACACTAGCAGACACATTGGATAAAATAAAATTGTGTTTTTTATTAGCACCGCGCCCTGCCCTGTGGTAGAAGCGAGTGGAAGAAAATGCTGGGGGAGGGGCCTAATGAGACTGGCATTCAATCGGGGAAAAAAACCGTGCACCCCCATGGGAATCCGGTGGTGGTGGTGTTAGGGAATTGGCCGAATTGCCTACTGTAGCAAAAATTAGTCCTACTACACGCGAGTTGTGCATTCCTGTGAATGAAAAGGTTGTAAGCGTAATTGTTGTTGCTCAGGCTGGTGACACAGCCAAGGGCAATTTTAGTCACTAAGAGAGAGAGAGAGCAGGAGCAAGCTCAGGAGTGTAGGCTGCGAGAGGAGAATGTGGAGGCATGGACAACCAATGTGGCAGGTGAGATCGACTTGAAATGGACGAAGAAGGTCCAAGGGCTCTAAATTGGTACAAAGTGTGCCTAAAGTACACATACGTTAATGGCAAACAACGTATGCTGCAGTTGAAATCAAAGCGCGTTTGAATGGGTGTTAAAATAAGCTAAAGTAGTGGCTTGGAAATTAATTAAGCAAAATGGGTTGACCTTGAGAAAGTTTACAGACCGGCTGACCGTGGTTAGGGGGTGACCGCGGCGATCGAATTGGTAAAACAACTTATCCCGAGGGGGGAATGTAGAGGGCCCGACTGGCTGATTGGCTGTCTGGCTATTAACAGTCAATAACCAAAGGCGTTTTGCAGTCTTAAAAATGGGTAATAGGAGCAGGAGAACAGCACGCGGTTTTACACGACAAAATCTGAAATACACGCCTTCTTCAGAAAAAAAGTTACCTTCTATGCAGAAGGAAAGGACAAATGTGTACTGTTGACATTTTTTAAATGCTAGATGCGATTGGTCGAAAGCAGTAGGTGGGCACTCGTTAGGAGTCACTAAAATGCAGAGATTAACTGGCTCGATTAAGGTAAATGCTTTACAAGTTCGACGTTCTCCAATGGTGAGTAGAGTGCTGGGGGTAGGTGAACATCCATGAAAAAGTAGTGCTAAATCTTGGTCTTGAGTCATGATATTTGCGTGCCATACGCGACATTTGATGAATTGACTCAGGATATCGTAGATAATGATAACCGTGCAAACGAAGATGACATCTACACTGTGGCTTAACCCGTTCATGAGTATATGGAACTGCCTGCCAGCTACTTTTTCTTGCTGCATATGCAGCATTAAAAATCGCCATTTTCTACCTTACGAAGGAAGCCATTGCAACTGGCTGAAAAAATGTCCAATTGGCAAGTTAAAGATCAGTAGATGTGACACATTAACATGCACTCATGGTTCAGCTGACAAAATTGTAGTCAAGTGGGGTGATTTGAACATAGATACATGGCCGCGTATGTATTCGAAACAGGCTACATGACCTCAAAATGCCTAAGATGTCATATGGGTCATAATAAAAATGTTTATGTAAATGAAAAATATCAACTGTGGTGCTGATAAGAGGGTTATCTGATGTTTGTTTTTCCAAACCGCAAAATAGAGTCCTTACGACAGGCAATTTTGCAGACAATTTTTGGTTAAACTATCGCTTGTCTTAGCCCTTGTCTACAGCTCTCGCAAAATTCACAATCATGGCCCCTTCAAGTTGGTGAAATGCACCCATAATATGTTACACGAAACAGATGTGGTAAACGGGATACTGTGGGCAGAAACTGCTTATAAGCTGCCCACAAGGAAGACAGCAATGTCTTCTTCTCACTCTTAAGCAAGATCAAACACAACCTACGCACTCTTGTACTTCCATCTGGATTTTTCCCTAGTTTTGTCTGATATTCGAGGATGAGTCCTTCTGCCCTTACGCATTCTGTATGCTATTTGCGAAAGCGTTAACTGCGTCTCACGACCAGTACTCAATATGGCGATCGAGCGAGCGACCGGCTGAAGTATGCACTCAGCAAATGGGCATGAACGAAGCCTGTTCAGTGGATGATCAGGCTTCACTCGGTCACTAACATCATTCACGATCACAATCACACACCACGCTCACGCCAAGACACCACCGGCTGCCCTAACCACTTGAACAGGTCTTATCCGCTGTCAACCTTAATTGTCGCATTTGACTTGCGGTTAACTCGAGGTATGTCAAATAATTTGTCATGTATGCTCTACATGTACAATGGCTTCTTATTTGTTGTATAATGACATGGGTAGAGCATTGACTTGATCCAGTTTTTTAGGTAACTGAGTTCAAATGTGTGTAGATTCGAGAACAAGCGCTTGCTCGTTGATCACCAGCACTGCTTCAGAAGTTAGAATTTGTTGTTTTGACTAATACACATTTAAGCTGTCACGTTCATAGTTTAGTTAATAGCTAAACTGAGTTAACGCGCTCTAACGCAATCGTAGTCCACAATCCCCGACTTTCGCAAGACTGCTGACAAAATTAATAACACGAAGCACTCGAGTACAGAGTCTTCACTGTTTTAACTGTTTTAATCAAAGTTCGAGCATTATAGCAGAAATAACAATTAGCATGACTATGACGCGGCATCCGAACACAGTGACGATCTGCAAGTGAGTTGTTTAATTAAATTGGATAGCTTGGTAACCGGAATCAGATTAAATTAGACACGATTTCAATAATTAAATTTAACCTCTAATGCATGTGCGCTAGTTGTCTTCCGTTTTGCGTACCGCGAAGGCAGTGACGTGGTTTAAATGACGTCTGCATCAAACTCTACAAGTGTCGTGTCGCACGATTTTGAGAAGTAAATAGTGCTTTTTTTAAATGCAATAAATCTGTTGAAGTCTTCACAGTAGCATTAATCTTAACACGAGAGTTGAGAAAAATGGCATTCGTCAAGGCATTGTAGTTCAACCTATGCTGTTCTAGAGCGATTAAAGCCTTCTTTTAAAACAGTCGTAGTTTGTGCGATCATTGGTTAATTTTCCGACGACATGGTACAGAATTTGGCTAAGAATTTTACCATTGTGAAAGACTGGCACATCGTCAAGTTCCATCAGCCCATTCCAAGTAGAGGTTCTGCTATTTAACACGTAAATATTTTTTCCACTTCAAAGTCGAACCACCTCAATCATCAATTTTTCAATCGACTGCTCGCATACTGCTCTCTGTAAGATTGCCTACCGTGAAATAAGTAATTAAGTTAAATAAGGAAATCAGCACGAAATATTTGTCTCCGAAATTGACTTTGAACACACAAGACTTTTGAAATAGTGTGCTGTGTTCTGGTCGACGTACGCCAACCCCTTGACAAGCGTCAGTAATTTTGTGCCACAACTGAGACTGCATGTGATCCGAGCTCGTAGTTTTAAGGCCCAAGTCAGCAACCTAATCAGTTTCACTCTTAAAATCAACAACAACAGCTAATTCATCGTAGGAGGAATTTGTGAATTGAGCGGAAAACTCCCAATGGAACAAATACCTTCAGGAAGCCCTTCGACGAGCGACAGCTCCACCAGTGTGCAGGACTGGAGTCTTCTAGATACTTCCAGTGGTGAGTAAACGTTTTTTGTACTTTTCCCATTTCGTGCAATTTTGAGTGTCAATACTGTATCTGTCAACTCTGTTTTCTATTGATCAACCTTGGATGATGAGGGATTTGACATAGTGAAGTTCCATTTTGGAACGCCAAATGTGTTTTCTAAAGACATTCAATTCTATTTGCATTTACGTTTCAATCTAGAAAGACATAAGGACGCATCCAAATGTTTCAGTAACCAAAATCTACTTAGAATCTATAATGTGACATCAAAGTGTTCAATTTTGACGATCAATTTTGATCACATCAACATGCCCATGGATCAGAACCAAAAGAGGCATACGAAATATAATAGTGATCAATAGCTACTGAGACTTTACATTGTCAAGAGTGTTTGTTGACTTGTAGAAAGGCACAATATTAGTTGAAAATTCATATCATTCATGGAAAAACGCAATTTGCGTCTTTAGTAGTCACACCCAAAATGTAAACGTGCAAATCGAAATCCAATCACACACCAATGACATGAATGTCTGATTTATAGGGTAGCAAACAAGCACTGGCCTAAAATCAACTCCAAACAAAGGTTATTTCTAGAAAGTAAATTACGCATATTTAACTGAGGTGTTTTTAAATCTCAAAAAAGATAGATGCCCAAACTAAACACATTTGGCTTCCAGTCGAGTACATTTCCTTTTCATTGCAACGATTTCTTATTCTATTCACAGCATCATGAAGGAAAATCAATTGGGATTTCAGCTGGTGTTAGTTCCATGTACTTGTGCTGACTGTTAGGGGTCTGTGAAAGGGGAGGTCGAATCGCGCAGCATGCGTGCCTATTCATATCATGGGCTGTCTATTTCGTGACTGTCATTTACACTCTGGTGTCTCGAGCACCTTCAGCTGGTGATGTTATTTTTCACGCTTTCCCTTTTTAAGACGAGCTGAATTCAGCAGAGGAGTTGCCCCACTGGACTTCAGCGTCAAGTGACTGGACTGAAGTCGAGGTTGAGTCTGCGGAGGAGTTTCAAGATTTTGATGAGGTCACGAAGGAGGAGGTGGAGCAGCAGAACGACGCAGCAATGCAGGCACCGCGTTTCCCAAGTCCCTCCACTTCAAATTTAACCAGTGCCTACACAACACAGCTCACTAAAATTCAAGGATCTTTGGATATTTCTGGTTTCAC